ATGCTGAGCTATATATCCTACCGCCCCACCTCCGCCTTTACGGAGGAATCTTGGAAATGCTTTGGATGAAACTGGAAATTTGGGGAATTGCGATAAGTAAGTGATGAGAAGGGGGGGGTCGTACCAAGGCCCCTATTGAGTTGGGGGGGGTCATACTGGCTCCACCATTTCACACATCACGATGCTGTACCCTGTCCTTGCTCACTGCGGTTTTCGAAAACCTTCAGGTTCACTTTCTATTCACCTTGGTCTATTCTGACTAGACTTTCATGGCAGCTTTATCTTGGTCGCAGTTGACGATTGTCTTCGAAACAAGTCAACTGAATAAATAATCAATTAGAGAGCGTTTCGGTCGAAAGGAGCTTATTTCTAGCTATTCGATGCACCAAACTTTTGCAAAAAATACAAGCTCTGTCCCCTTCAGACGCCATAGGTATTTGCTGGATCGTCCATACGGCCTGTTTCCGTAAATGAGATATACGCGATAGCTACGGCGCCAGTAACGTACTTAGCAACTCCTGCCACTCAATTATTTCGCCACGAAACAGGTTTGACAAGCAGCCGTACTATTTTAATTGAGGGCTCTCCTGTTTTCAACGACAGGATCCGCTACTGGTGGCGCCTCCCTTAGAACGCACCATATGATTGTCAGTTCCCTTATGAGTTATGGAAGCTTTTGCATACCGTTCTCGTCCACCTTGGGTGTCCTGTGGGTGATGGTATAGTGCTGGACAAATGCACTCCAAATTTCAGAGATGGTTAGTCAGCGTAGTTGCGTATTTCAAAGAAGTGGCGAAATCTGTGTTTGGAGGGATATTGCAGTTACATACCAGTTGCAAACATGACTTTGTCCAGTACACGATAGAAAAACACATGTATCAGATCAAAGTATCCCAACACGAATCCTACGCCATGTTCAAGTGAAGCACGCATTCCACGCCCACTCTACCAATGGGATATGAAGTGTACGCGTAGGCAATGATGTCACGAAGGTGCTATAAAGGAACACAACACTTTGTTGTACTGGAGGTTAGTGTAGAAAGCAGCATCCGCCCAGGCCAACGCCTTTTATCCTCCGGGAACGGCAATCAGTTTCAGATTCTTTTGTAGGGGGGGGGGGGATGAGAACTCTGTAACGGGGTCCGTTTCAAGATAAATGTCATGAGCCTTTCTGGCGCGTTGCTCACTCAAAACAATAAACAACAGAATCCGGTCGGCCACTCCTTCATTCCTCGCAGTGGAATGACTAAGGTAAGTGTCGGTGTCATTTTTACCGTTCCTTTAGGTAAAGAGGCCAATGTCATTCAGCGTGATCTCTGTAGCTTTGCTCTTCTTTTCCCTGTGTTGTTACCTGTTACTTATGCCCGACAGCGTAGTTCTCTGAAACGAGGTTGGTAAAAACCTGTTTACCTACTAGACAATGAATGAGATGGTATGGTTCACAACGAAATATTTGTAGTTTTACTGAAATTTTCCACGTAATTTTCCACGTGAAGTCTTTGAACACGCCAATAAACGGTTGAGACTTCACGCTGACCAATGCCTGTAGATCACATCACATATTCAGTTTCTACTTTGAATCCTGGGAGCGTTTGACTGCAAGGAGCTGCGAAAGACTGGGGAGCTTGGTGGCTTGGACTGACTGTGATCTTCAACCCGCAGCAATAGGTGATACAGACGTGCAGCCTGCCGCCACTGGTTACAGGCCGAAATCCTGAGACGCCGGTGGGCGGTTACTGCATTACTTCATCGATCGGGCGTGGCGGTTCTGTGTTTGCTAGAGACGATTTATTTCCTATTCTGGGTGCACTTGCGTAGACTTACAGCACACAAAACAAGATGACAGCTGTCTCAAAGTGAAATATTCTACAAAAGACCCTTTCTGGGCCATGTTCAGATGTCATGCCCCCTCCATCTTAGTAAGTAACAGACGTCAATTTACACACAATTCAATGGCCGGCTGTACGTTGCGTAGGAGTTGGAACGTTTTGCCCGTTGACGGCTATTTCCGAAAAGCTCTCATCTCGTTCATAGCACCAACCTTGTCCATCGGTGTGGGCCTTTATTTATTCTATTCATTCATTTATTAATTGTTTATTATTGCTAGTAAATATACGAACCTAGTGTGTAAAAAAAAAGCGAGGCAGCACACAATTCACGGACAAAGATGAATAAAGAGAAAACAATGAAATGAACTTTGCAAAAAGCAAGTGCATGTGCTGCGAATCGAATCAGAGAGATCACCGTATTCTTCCTTGTATACATTGGAAGGCAGATTTTCGCTTTAGGGAGATGAAGGAAGTTCATCCGCGTAATTCTGGTCCTTGCTTCTGACCGCAAGGATTTTGACGACAACAAGTACTGGAGTGTGCTTGGCAACACAACCCTTTACAAACGAACTCGTACAGAGTCGCAGACGAGTAAGCCAAGGTAGACCTCAAGCAAGGGTTCATCATCCTTCAAGCTCAGAATTGTTTAAAGCTGTTACGAGGGTGAAGCATCGATGATTCTGACGAAGAAGGTCGTTCAGGGCGTGCCCCGCTTTTTCGAAACGGTTTATTGCACTTTGTAGGGCCTTGCCCATGAACCATAAAAGTGGGCTTCGTTTTGGCTGAGCGGCCCCAGGAACGCCAAAAAAGGAGCGAAAGGTACGTCTATGTACCCCATAATGAGGGGCATTAAGCGCTATATTACTGACGCCAAATTGCGTCGACGTCGAAAATAGGTGTCAGAATCGCAATCAGGACCATCGATTATCTTATGAACGAACTTCCAGCCAAAAAAGTTTTTTCGATTTTTTGGGTTTTTGTGGACCATTTGGTGGGCAGTGGTGGCCGGAGTATCCCATCTTCGTAAAACGATGATGGAACGAGGACGAAGCAGGCCGCCAGGCAGAACAGCAAACCTGGTGGAATGCCTCCCTTTCCTTCCTCTTTGCATGAATTTCATCGGCATTGTTACTTTTAACTTTGGACGAGGGGTCCCCATGGCGAGGCACTGTAGACTTCTATGGAAAGACTGTCGGGCACAACCCAACGCACACACCCAAAAAGTCGAAAAAAAATTTTTTGGCCGAAAGATTGTTTACAGGGGTAATCGATGGCCCCGATCATGATTTTCACACTTATTTTCGGCGCCGACGTAATTTGGCGCCTGGGAGTAGCGTCATCACCATCCCCTTACTTGTGTGTAGCAAACGCAATCATTGGGAGAAACATGTCACTCCATATTAGCGATAAATGGCACCGTAGCTACAAATAAGTTCCATATTCGTGATTCGAGCATGGTCTGACCTATAAAGGTCAAATTTCAATTACGATTTTGTTTAATGGTATGTAAAACCTGTAATAATTGAATAGCACTGATTTATGGAAGGTTCCCATTTAAAATGTGCCCATAAATGGCACTTATCGAAACGATACTCACGCCACAGACATATTTGAACGCGAAAACAGCAAAACATAAAAAATGCAAAAACTCGCACGCCGAGTGGAGTCGACCATCAACCCACCCCAGCTGTCCGCTTGAGAATCCTTCACGCTATCCACTAGGCCATCCGATCGTTGTTGCTGCTGATTCCTCCGATCGTTGAAGAAACCATTCCATGAAGCCGTTCACGCTTGATTACGTGCCACAAGTAAGACCCCATACCCCGACTACTTTTCTCTTCGATTCCGATAGTACCTTTATAGGGTCCCTCCATTCAGCAAGATGGTTCAAACAGTTTCACAGCAGTTTACAAGCTCGTAGGGACTTCAGAAATATCAGTTCCATAGGTTTCTTTTTCGCTCCTTTTTTGGCATTCCAGGGGCCGCTCAGCCAAAACGAAGCCCACTTTTATGGTTCATGGGCAAGGCCCTACAAAGTGCAATAAACCGTTTCGAAAAAGCGGGGCACGCCCTGAACGACCTCCCTTGTGAGTGGAGATCGGCTGCGCGGCGTATCCTGAACGCGATCTCTGAGTGAAGGTGGGTTGCGTGGCGTATTCCGTGCGACGTGTTCACATCGATCATCCATTTGTCAACAGTTTAATGTGAATTTACGTTGTCCATGGGTGTTCCACACTCCGAACCACGATCAGTAATAAAAACGTTCGCCATTTCCTCGCCTGATCTAAACTGATCCTTATCCCAAAGAAGTCTCTTAAACAGCTTCGATTTTCAGTTTTGGGCTATCATCATCATCATCATCTCATCAGAAGAAACTCCACACACCCCTCTACGAGAAAAACCATTTTCTACGGATTCACTCTGCGTCATCTTCTGAAAATCCCCTCAATCCACTATTCTGTCGTGTACTGTACACGCGGTAGCCCAGCCAACCAGGAACCGGCCGCTGTGGAGCATTCATAACGATAATAAGATTACAAAAGGCTTCGCTCGAAAGGCTTCCCAATGGAGAGCCACAGAGTCAAAGAATCGAAGAAAAAAAGAGTGAAATTCTGGGAAGGGGGTCTTTCAGGTCTGCAAGACATTTCCAAACCGTCTTCCGCATGTTGTAGACATTCATGGGGACCACAGTAGTGTAGGACGTTCTTGCTGCGCATTTCTGGGAATCCAAAGAAAGGGCGGACAATAGGCTATCGCTTTCAGCCCAGTAGGTGGTAAACACGTCATGTTTTATATACTGCTGTCCGCACTTTGATTCAATTACCCTCTTTGCCCAAACCTCTTTAGTTTAAAACATCTTGCTTGTCTAGGACCACCCCCAATGTCCAAAAGACATAAACGCTCTTCATGGACTCGTAAAACTTCTTATAGCCCCTCCTCGGCACTCTGAATCAGCGCGCAGCAAAAATGAATTACAGTTTCGTGTCCCCCCGCGTGCAACTCTACGACACGCTACGAACCTTTGCGAAGTTGGGCCCATGACCTGAA